GTTTATACATGTATAGGGTAGAGGGGATTCCTTAACCCCGTAGGAATTTATCGTTATATAAAGTTTTATATTGGCATGCTATGATTATTGTTGAGGTTGAGGGATTGATGAATGATGATGATGCATTTTGGGGTATATATATATATATATGGTGATGATGTTACTGTAGTATTGATCCATTTTGTTGGATTGTTGATGTTACTGTAGTGTTGATAGTAACTAGGAATATAAAGCTGATGAGATTATGTGTTGTTACCGTAGTGTTGGCAATGACAGTGATTATAGCTTTGGGAAAAGTTATGTGTTGTTTCCCTATAGTGTCGTTAATGACTATGGTTAGGACCTTGGTGAGATTCAGAGTGACTCTGAAGTGTCGGTAATGTACCGTAATGTCGGTTCTAGAGTAGAAATTATAGGATAATTGGTAAGTATAATATCTATTGGCATGTTTGTGATTGTGGATTGATGTTGATGAATTATTGATTTTGGTGTATAGGCTGGGGTGTTGGTTTAGGGAGGTTCTGAGTAACCTCAGAGACTTTTGGTGAGATGTCTGAATTGGTCTCGTGTGATCCTTCTAGCCTTGCTGTAGTGTGAAAATGATGAGTATGGGATATAACTTGTGTACTTGGGGATAGTACGCGTTTCCCTTAATATTGTTGGTGAGCAATTAGTAATGTATATGTGTGTAGTGATCAGTAGGATCGTGTATCCCCGAGTGGGGGGGGACGTAGTTATATCCGGTGTGATAGTATGAATTCGTTTACTATCTGATTGATTTATATGGTGTTGGTGTAATATATCTATACATATGCATTGTTGTATGATGATATGATCAGGAGGATCGTGTGCACTTAGCGTGCCAGAATATAATAATTATGCATTGGTGTCTTGCATATCATGGTGTTTTGGTGGGATGAATCATGTCTCAGGAGGAGCGTAAGTGATTCATCCGTACTCCTTTGTGGAGAATGGTGGGGGATAGATCATGTCTCAGGAGGAGCGTAAGTGATCTATCCAGATTCGATTGAATGAACCAATGAGTCGGTACCGCATGCATGGTGTTGAGTTGCATAATTGCATTATAATATGTTATATTGTAATTTGAACAGTAGGTTCGTTATATGGTGTTGTTGGGGTGAATAATTGATGTGTTGGTGTGTTTTACTGCCTTATTACATGTATTACATTACCATTATATTTTTGATCATGATTTCTCACCCCTTGTTGTTGTTGTGGTCTGTGCTTCTTCGGAAGTACAGATAATCCAGGTGCTTAGCTAGCTTGGATATTGGTGTGACTGTCGAGTCTAGGATGCTCTGATACGTAGCACGGGACTTGGGCATTTTTATTGTTTCATGTTGAACTCCTATTTTTTTCCTGCGAACGTATCAAAATTTTTATTTAATTGTATTATTTAAATATTCCGCTGTATTTGGAGAAAAACCTTTTTATAAGGAAACGTGATTTTTATGTGATATCCCACTTGGGAAGGAAACTCTGATTTTTATTATGTTATTCATATTTTATTTGTTTTGGGAAGTGGGGTGTTACAGCTTCCGCATAATTCTCTCCATTTTCAAGTGATTAGATGAGACCTATATATAGACTAGGTAATAACTGAGAAGTTCTAAAACGTGCAAGGGGCGGTTGGAGAGGAAAGAGGGAGTGGCTAAGGGAAGTTTCAACTAATTCTCGTGAAAACTGCTCTGCATGATGACGGACACCATTAGGACAATGGCGAATCCCATTGCCTCCCTCATTAAATGACGTGTCATTTTAGACAATGGTGGACGCCATTAGGGAATGGTAAACACCATCGTGCCAGAAATCATAAATTATGCTCTTCTGCTCTTCTTTCCAACATCCTCGCTTGAATGCTTCTAAAATGCAATAAACTGCAAAACAAACACGAAACAACACAAAAATAATATGTGTTTTTGAGCCTACAAACATGATATGTTTTCACGTTATCAAACTCAAAGGCTGATGAAGACTAGATTGCTTATAAGAATTACAGAGGACGGATTGAAGAATAAGTTCAAGTGTTATCGCTTAATTGTTTTTGGCCCTTGTATCTGGGCATATTTTATTTTTAAAGGCTTCATAGTCTCTTTAAACTTTTTACAATAAAGCATATATAATCTTGTGCATCTCTGGATGTTGTTCTGGTTGTTTTACTTATGTTTTGGTTATGTATGTGCTAACATACTAGCCTATGCATGACTGACCTCTTGGTGGTATTTGATGTTCTAACCCTTTTCCAAAATATGGCAAAAAGGGGGAGTAACACATGTATTTTTGTTTAGTACTGACCATCTGGATAAGTATTAATGATGTGCTCATATGTTGTGTTCATATGTAGCAACATAAAAAAAACATTTGACCCTTTTGCAGTGATCTTTTCTATTTGTAGTATTTTGCACATCATGATATTAACTACTAACTGTTTGTGTTATGCATGGCTAAGTATGTGAATGATTGTATGCTAATAATTGTTAGTTAGTAGGACTGTATGCTACTAACTATGAGTTGACTGATGTCATGCATGACTAAGTTGTGAATGATTGCATGTTAGTCTGATTGATTTTGGAGCATTGTTTTGTGTGGCATGCATATGCGCTATTAATTTTTCGTTGATGTACTACAACTCTGATGAAAGCTGCTACTGATGAAAGTGTATGTTCTGATAGTTTTATGTTGAATGTCACTTGTTCTGATTGAATGAGTGATACTTATCTTGAAGATATGTTTTGCAACAATTTGTCAAAGGGGAGAGATTGTTGTTCCTTTTGGATTGTATGCATTTTGCAAAACAACAATACAGAGAAGTGTTCAAGATTAATCTTGCTTACTTAAGTTGTATGGATGTGCAGAAGAGACACATGCTGGACGCAATATCACAACATGTTGGTAAGGCATATGAGCCTTTCGCAACAGGTCAATGTTAACATTGTTGCGTTTTAGAAGATTTTATTATCAAAGATTGAATCAGATTTTATTGTTATTGGTTTAGTAATATAATTAGGTAATTTGTTTGACAACGAGATAAAGAGAATATTTTTAAATGTTCAATTATTCTGTAAAAGTAAACGGTGAAATATGATAGAACGTTTGTACAAAGTTCATTTCAATTGTTGGGATAATGTAATTAAACACATCAATTGTATCAAGGATGTATCTCAATCTAACTTTTTTATCATTCTTAATAATTATGATTTATTTTTTAAGAAATTATTTTAAATTCTTTAGATATCAAAAATTTAATTTATTTTTTTATTTGTCAATTTATATAAGAAATATAATATTAAAATAATCATTTTTTAAATTTAAATTCAATTTTTGTCTTTCTATTATAAAATCGCTTATTTTAATTTTAATTTTTGGTAAAATATTTTTTAATATAATTTTTATAAAAACATTTTTTAAATTATTAAGTTTTTTTAAATTCATTTTTTATGAATTAAAAAAATTAGTTTTGACATTCTATAACATAAATATATATTATTATTGAAGATTAAAAGTTAGTTAAAATCACATTCCAAAAAAAATATTTTTAAAAATGATTTTTATGAAAATCTATTTAAAATAGCTTCAATTTTAAATTAAATTTTGAAACTAAAAAAATAGTATAGAAAAATGATAAAATATCTAAAATAATTATTTAAACCAATTTTTTATTTAACGGTTATTTTCTTAAATATAGATTTTCTTTAATAAAAATATGTAAAACTATAAAAAATATTTTTTTTAGAAAAATTAAACCAACGAGTCCACTATTTCATTCTAATTCCTATATTTCAAATTCAAATTATTTAGATCTCTACTCTCCTATTTTTTCAATGCTATAATAATAAATTCAACAATTTAACAAAATTGTTGTTGTTAACTGTTTATTATTACTACATTTCTCATTTGCTAAATATAAGATCATCTAGAATAAATTACGAGAATTAAAAAATTAATTGAAGTATTAAACTTATTGACGATTATGTATAGTTTTACAAGTTTAATTTAAAAAAAAAATTATTCCATGAATATACATTGTCTAGAATAAATCACAAGAATTAAATTATTAAATTAGTTCACGATTTATATGGTTTTATAAATTTAATCTTAAGAGAGAAAATTATTTTATGAATATAAAATTTTCTAAAATAAATCACAAAAATTAAAAAATTAATTAAAATATTAAATTTGTCGATAATTTATATAATTTTATAAGTTTTATCTTAAGAGAGAATTATTTTATGTCTGGGTTAAAATATATAGTGCATTATATATAAAAAATAATGTAATATAATTAAGAGTACATAGATAAAATATAATTAACACACTTTAATATAGAAAAGGGACATTAAAAAATACAAAATAACCCTATATCTATAAACATAGATGGTAAAAGTAGAGTATTATCCAATATCATAAATGCATATTAAAATTAATTAATTAAAGTTAAATTTAAAATAAATTAATTAATATTTTAATAAATAAAAAGTTGACTTTTATTTTAAGTTAACTTTTTATATTTTAAAATAATACATAGAATACTTATATTAGAAGAAATGAAATAGTATAAATATTGATTTTTAGTTGTTATATTAAGTCAGCTTAATAACCCATTATAAAAATAATGGGCAGTGTCTTTGTTAAATCCCAATAAACAGTGTTAGTTTGATTTGATTCTCTTAGTTGACAGAACCTTCTGACACATTTCTCTTCTATTTCCATCGTTTTTCGTATTATTCAAACGCGTTGCGTTGAGAATGATATTAACAACCAAAACGAGAAAAATAACACGTTTATTATCTTTTCTCTAAACACTTGTCACTGTTCACTTCTCTCTTCTTCTTAGTCATAGTCTGCGTCAAACCTACCGCGTGCATTCACACGCTTCCGCACCTTTCACTTTCCCTACTCACTCATATAAACCCATTTCACATTTTTTTTCTCAACTCATTATATTCTTCACCGTTCACATTCTCTTTTTTCAACTTCACATGGAAATCACATTTCCCACTCTAGAAGATTTCTCATTCTTGTTCCCAGAAATGGAATCCAATCTAAACTCAAAGAAAAGAAGTTACCCAGAAAGTTCACAAACTCAATGGAACCACAGCAATAACATTTTCAATGATGATACTGATAGTAGTACATTAAACAATATCCTCAGTTCTCTCATTCAATTCGACAGGCAAATTCCAAAACAAGAACAACAACAAGCAACGCCAGTGAAATCTAATTCAAATGAGTTGTATCAGTTAGATTTCGAACAGCCAGCTACAAAGAAAGCGCGTCACTCAGACGCGTCTGCCATTGCAACGGCAACAACTGCAACTACTTCTTCAATAGTGGGCCCACAGAGACGGTTATGGGTTAAAAACCGTTCAAAAGACTGGTGGGAGAGCTGCATCAGCCCTGATTTTCCAGAAGAAGAATTCCGGAGATGTTTTCGGATGAGTAAATCAACTTTCGAATTTATCTGCAGAGAACTCGATTCAGCTGTTACTAAGAAAAACACTATGCTCCGCGACGCGATTCCGGTGCAGCAGCGCGTGGCGGTTTGCATCTGGAGGCTCGCAACCGGTGATCCACTTAGAATTGTTTCGAAGCGATTCGGTTTAGGGATATCCACTTGTCATAAACTTGTACTTGAGGTTTGTGCTGCGATTAAGAAAGTTCTTATGCCGAAATTTATTAGTTGGCCTGATGAGAAAAACCTCAAGTTAATTAAACAAGAGTATGAGTCTCTTTCTGGAATACCGAGTGTTGGTGGTTCAATGTATACGACTCATATTCCGATAATTGCACCTAAGTCCAATGTGAATTCTTATTTCAATAAGAGGCACACTCAGCGGAACCAGAAAACTTCCTACTCTGTTACCGTTCAAGGAGTGGTTGATACGAGAGGGATTTTCACTGATGTTTGTATTGGTTGGCCTGGTTCTTATCCTGATGATCAAGTTTTGGAGAAATCGGTTTTGTATCAGAGAGTTATGAGAGGGAATTTGAAAGATGTTTGGGTTGTTGGAAACTCTGGGTTTCCTTTGATGGATGGAATTTTGGTTCCATATACACATCAAAATCTGACATGGACACAACACGCTTTTAACGAGAAAGTTGGGGATATTCAGAAGGTTTGTAAAGATGCGTTTGCGAAAGTGAAAGGTAGATGGTCTTGTTTGCAGAAGAGAACTGAGGTGAAGATTGAGGATCTGCCTGGTGTTCTTGGTGCTTGCTGTGTTTTGCATAATATTTGTGAAATGAGGAATGAGAAGATGGATCCTGAGTGGAGTTTTGATCTGTTTGACGATGAGATGGTGGCGGAGAATGGTGTTCGATCTGCTGCTGCTGCTCAGGCGAGAGACAATATTGCTCATGATTTGTTACATCGTGGCCGCGCCGGCACTACTTTTTTGTAGTTTTATGTTTTATGTTATGTCATGATGATGAAGATGAACAAGATTGTAACATTAGGGATGGGTTATGATGTTGTGGATTGTTAGTTTAAGATATAGAGTGTGAGAGATTTTTTATAGAAATTACATAAAATGAATGAAACAGTTGAATTTTGTTTGACGAAAGACTTTTGATTTTTGTTTATTTGTTAGTACTGTAATTTTGAGTTTGTTGTCCTTGGATGTCTGGTTAAAAGTAGTAAAATGGATTTTTATTCTTAAAATAGGTTACTGAGGTTATGTTTTGTTTTGTTGTGTCCCTTAATGTTAGGACAAGGTAGGGGCATTTCTTGAAATTCATGTCTATTCCATTAAAAAAATTGCACTTAGATGAAAAAGGTCAAAATGAGTTGGTTTTGAGATGAAGAATAACGGTGGAATATATTTATCGTGATAAATGTGTGGGAATTTGAAAGCTAACATAACACGAAAGGTATTGAACAAGTATATGAAGCTAAATGGAAAAGCAAAGTCTAGTATTTGCACGACCAGAGAATAATTGTGTTAGCATGACAAATCTAGGTGGTCTTACTCCTATCTTATGCACATGGACGGTGGACCATTTGCTCAACTATTTGTAGAAATTTACTCATTTAGAATCTAAGTCCTAATCTTCATTTCAAAATGTACCAAAAAATTTCAAAATGGTAGGCTTTTCTAGTTTTTTTTTTCTTCTTTTAAGTACAAAGGATGTTGATAGTCTGTTTCTTAGACTAAAAATTTTCAAAATGGTAAGCTTATTAATTGAAAGATTTATAGCTTTTCTAGTTTTTTTTTCTTCTTTTAAGTACAAAGGATGTTGAGAGCCTGTTTCTTATAGCTTTTTCTTTTTATCTTTTTAGTTTTTGATTTCACAGTTTTTATTAATAAAAAAAATTTAATTTAAATGCATTTTTGGTCTTTTTAATTTAGATATTTTAAATAATTGATCATATACTGGCCTTTTAATTTTTGTAACCTCTCCAATTTTGTATAGGCGGAAGTGATGATTGAAATAAAAAAAAATTTTAATTGAGTGGTAAGGATAACTAAGATATTTTAATAATTTAAAAATGTTGACTTAAATAATTTATTAATTAATATATTTTAGAATAAATTAATAATTCATAATTAAGTTTTTTTTAAGGCAGATAACTAGGATATTTTAATATTTATTTTTAATAATTTAAAAATGTTGACTTAGATAATTTATTAATTAATATGTTTTAGAATAAATTAATAATTCATAATGAAGTTTTTTATGAAGGCCGATAATTAGGATATTTTAATATTTATTTTTAATAATTTAAAAATGTTGACTTAGATAATTTATTAATTAATATGTTAAAATAATAAATTCATAATTTATAATTAATCATAAAAAACATTTTTTTATCCGTTTAGTTTTTAATTTTTCAGTTTTTATTAATATTATTTTGACGCTTTAATTTTGTTGGCCTTTTAATTTTTGTAACCCCTCAATTTTGTATAGGTGGAAGTGATGATTGGAATAAAAAAAATTTAATTGAGTGGTAAAGATAATTAGGATATTTTAATATTTATTTTTAATAATTTAAAAATGTTGACTTAGACAATTTATTAATTAATATGTTATACAATAAATTAATAAATTATAATTGAGTTTGTTATAAAGCCAGCAACTATTGAGCCACTAGCCGATTTCGTAATTGCATTAGGTCAGACAAGATTCATTACTAGTCCAACTCACTCAACTATTCCTCCATTCAAACTGTCGTTAGCTATGGAAAATTGATTTAGCAATGAACCATGCACATATAATCACATTATTAGTGGTTGAAATACATATCCATTAGGTGGTTGAAAGCATACATAGCATCATCAACAATTAGTAATTACCAAAATAATGTAACATGAATTCAAAACAAGTAAAACATTCTCACTAATTAATTACATTCAACGCCATAACTCATTAATGGAAAAGACAATCATCAACTAGGTAACATGCAGTTAAAAAAACACATATAAACCTTTCATATAAACACTTCATTGCAAACTATGGTGCTGCCATGTCAGATATCTAATCATAAACTGCCTATTGCAGTTTGAAATGACAAACTTTTTTCTATCCTGCCATGCACAATCGATAAGACTGCTAACGTGTCATCTCATGTATAGTAGTGTACGTACATTTGACAATGCATTGCATCCTGCACAAGTTCATGAAGCTTATGCCTATACCTATATTTTATTTAATTTTGGTCTCTAAACTTTCTAAGAAATGAAAAACCCATTGTTCAAATATATATGATCACATTGAATGTCACATAAGCAACTTGTATGGTTGGGAGCATAAATAGCAGCTTGCACAAAAATTTAAATCCTTACATTCACACAATCACTGATTTAGACTTCTAACTTGTAAGGCTTAAGTTCTGACTTCGATTTTGTACCCAACCGCTATGAAAGGTTCAATGATTGAGTGGAATGGAACAATATATTGGTGATTTGATTCAACCTTCTAGATGGTTAGAGTGAAATGGAACAGTTGGATTGAATACACTTTTTATGGTGAGTTCGATAATCATAGACTTGGTTCTATAACTAATAATAGGGTTCAATGGTTGGTAATTAGTAATTGTTGTTGCTGCTACATATGTTTTCCATATTATTCTAGTTAAGAACGAATGATGGTGTTGTAAGGAAGGCAGTGATGCATAGCTAGAAGCAGCTGTCAAAGAAACTAGAAGCAAATTGTTATTGAAATCCCACATTGGTTTATTCACAAATAATTCCAGTCTTTATATAGTTCATACAAGCACCATCTAGATCATTTTTTAAAAAAAACTTAATTAAAATTATTAAATATTAATTTAGTTAAAACTATTTTTAAATATTAAATTAATTAAAAACATATTAATTAATCAAATATTTAGTCATCCTTGTCAATTTATTAAAGGTATTTTTTTATCCTAACCATCATTGCTACGAATGCAAAAGTGGAATGAACCACGAATATCTTAGAGCATCTTCAATGGTGCAATTCATTTTTAGGTTCTTTGTGGGACCTACTCTTTTAAAGCAACTCATTCAATTTTTACTTCAATGATGCAATTCCAAAGAATCCATATTGGGTCTCACCACTTTACTTAAAATATATTATTTATATTAAATTTATTTTATTTAAAATTATAATTTAAATATTTAAATTTTAATTAATATAAATACAAATTAAACATAAAATTAAAATTAAACATAGAATTGAAAATAATAATTAAAATTAAATTTAATTAGATGAAAATATGAAATAAAATGATAATGAGAAGAAATTGTTGGAAAAAAATTAAATATTTATGAATAAAATGATGAAATTGTGAGAGAGAAATTTGAAATTAAAGAGTAAATAAAAGTGAGAAAAAATAGAATTGGTATATAATTTTTCCAACAAACCTATATTTATAATAAATAAAAAAAGTTTAAAAAAATAAAAATAAAGTTGTTGCACATCGGCTAAATGATTATTTTAATAATTAAAAAAATAAAGAACTATTGTTTATGTTTGTAACGTTTACGAGCTGGAACAACTTTTTGTTGACAATTTCAATGCCAAGCTGGCAAACCAATTTGAAAAATCACCGTTGAAAGTGGTCTAAAGGCCATCAAAATTAAAGGATCAAAATCGTTAATTTAATAATAAGGGATTAATGATTTAAAACGTCTAAATTAAGAAGATTAAAAGTGCATTTAAGCCAAAAAAATTATTTGATAAATGATTTGTAGTTTATAATTTTCTTTTTTAAATTGTTTTGCGTTTATTTTAAAAAGGTAAAATAGCTTTTGAATTTATAACTTTTACTTTTTACTTTTTCTTTTCTTTTGTTTATATTCTTACTATTTTAACATAAAATTCTTTTTTACTATATATATTTTATTATAATTTATAGTAAAATAAATATTTATAGCATTGTGAAATGTTTGACAATAAACTTATTTTATTATTATTTTTTATAAATATAATTAAATTTAAAATTATAATATTATTATTTTATTTTATTTGTTAAATTTCATTACTAAATTTATATATATATGTTTGATATTTTGGTGTATTTTAATTTTACATATATATTGTTTAATTTTACATATATATTTAAAATATCTTGCATGTGTTTATTTTTATCCAATAAAAATTAATTTAATAATATTATATAAAAGATAATGTGATTACTAATTTATTATATTAAAAATATTCTTTTATGTCATTTTGTATTTATCAGTTAATTTAACAATTAATTTTTCAAACACTCAAATTAACTTACTAACTATTAATAATTAACTATAAATTATAAACTACTAACTATCAGTCATTAGTTATAAATTATCGACTAACTTATCATCTACCAACTATTTTTATTAAATAGAGTCTGAAGTTCGAAAGAAAATATTATAAATTAAATGCACATTATTAGGCATGCAAGTTTCAAAGATATCATTAAAAAACTATTTGTGAAGTTCATCGAAAGAAATTACATAAATACAATTTAACTTGTTACAAATTCTTATGTTGAAAAAGGAGTGAAAAATACATTGTTAACCTGTTTCATCTTCCGTGGATTCCTTCCAAGCTTACACCTTTTTTCTCAAAATATTATACCTCTCACCAAATAAACCAAGCATAACTTTAACCCTTCCAAGCAATCATAAACCCAATAAAACTTTCGCATAAGTCCTTGGTAATGTTTGCAACATCCCTTTAAGCCAGCTTTTGGTGCCATGTGTCACGGGGGAAAGATTATCTATAGAAATCCTAGAGGATGAGTATTATATTAGTCTGGAGTCCTACAAGCATAACCTCAATGAAATGATTTTGTAGACAAAAAATTGCATAGCTAAATGAGGCATCACATCCGTAGGTAAGGGATTTTACAAATTTTCTTTCTTTACTTTAGAAGATGTTAGAAGGGTAAGATACATGCTTTCATGGAACTTAAATCCTGGAGTTTCAAAAC